CTGAAACCTTCTGGCCTTCAGATAGAAATCTACAGAAATCTCAGTGTAGTGGAAGAAAAGGAGTCTTACAGAAGCATACAAAACCGACCTAAACCTTTTTCTCTAGGAATGTGTTACAGAGTTTCAATTTCTTAGTTGTATATAAAATAACCACAGTCGCCTCTACTGACAGCCTCCCAGCACATAATGAAACGACCTCACCAGCTTTGGATCCTGGATTTGGCATTAGGGCAAAAAGAAAATGTAACTAGAAGTAGTAAACTAAAGCCCAACAATCTTACTTCAGCATGGGAGGAGAAGCTTTTCCTACGGGGGCCCTGCTACAGTTAGTGCTGCTTCACGAATCTGCATGTCCTCCTTGTGCAGAGGCATGTCCTCCTTGTGCAGAAGCATAATCTAATCTTCTCTGCATTGCTCCAGTTTTAGTGTACGTGCTGTGGGAGGGGGAACTGTAGTTAGCGCTTTTCTGGCTTGTTTTTGGGTAGGTCCCCCACCAGGTGCCAGCTTCTTACTGCCCTCTGCTGGTTAAACCTGACTTCAGCCTTCGTAAACCAGCCTTCTACCCAACTGCTATTCTACTAGATGAGTAAATAAATGCACTTGTTCACATTTTTTTAAATTTTCCTATTACTGGCACTTCATATGAACCCCGAGAGAGCCCTATAGCATTATCTCGTTTCTTTAATTTTTTTTACTACAAAAAACAATACATATTGAAGAAAAAATAAGCAACATGTAAACCAAAATACCCACCTTTTCAGAAACCACTAAAACCTTGATGTATGTCCTTATATTTGTGTGTTTTTTAAAAAATGTGGTCCTATTGTACATTTTGAATATTGCTTTAAAAGTGTATGAACAGGGGCACCTGGGTGGCTCAGTGGGTTAAAGCCTCTGCCTTCGGCTCAGGTCATGATCTTAGGGTCCTGGGATCGAGCCCTGCATCGGGCTCTCTGCTCAGTGAGGAGCCTGCTTCCCCTTCTCTCTCTGCCTGCCTCTCTACCTACTTGTGAGCTCTATCAAATAAATAAGATCTTTAAAAAAATAAAAGTGTATGAACAGATGTCCTTCATACTGTTTTTTAGGCACCGTAATATCCCATTCTGTAATCGTACATTTTACTTATTCTCCTACTTTAACCCCCCAAAAAGTATGTTCTAATAGCCCTGTGATAAATATGCTAATAGCTATAATCATGCTTTCCTTTGTAACTGGCCCATAAATGTGTACTCTTCACCAAGGGCATTCTTTTTTTTTTTTTAAGATTTTATTTATTTATTTGACAGACAGAGATCACAAGCAGGCAGAGGCAGGCATAGAGAGAGGAGGAAGCAGGCTCCCCGTTGAGCAGAGAGCCCGATGCGGGGCTCGATCCCAGGACCACGGGACCACGACCGGAGCCAAAGGCAGAGGCCCAACCCACTGAGCCATCCAGGCACCCCCACCAAGGGCATTCTTAATTGATGCTGTAGTTTTTCTCCTTTATTATCAAAAATGGGGAAGTTAACAGTGCGTCTTGGCTTGGCAGGGCCACCGGATGATCACCGGTGCCTCCACCTTTACATACTTCACAACCCAGTTTAGTTCAGAGACTTGAAAGAGATTTGAGTTTCTACCTATAAAAGTACTTCTCTCTCTCCTCTCTGGCACTTGCCCGGTCTAAAGCCAATTTGCTGTGGAAATCAATTTAGGAATGCAGTGCTGATGGGGACTATGGAGTCAAAGAACAAAAGCAGAATTCTCTTATGGGATGCTTCATGCAAACCACGAAAAGCTGAGAAAATTGCCCCTTTTGTGTAGATAAAGAATCCTCAGGATCCCCTTCCTCCCTCATTTCTAAGACTTTCCAAGCAAAACCCAGATCGTAATGCAACTTCAATCAGTAGACTGTGGCTAGGTAGAACAGGGTTTAGATAAAAAAGTTGACTGAAATACCTGACTGGTAATAAGAGTTTGAATTTAGGTGTACTTGTGCTATTTGAAGAATAAGCCATGTTTTATTTTTTTTAAAAAAGGACACAAAAACTTTTGCCTTCTGGGGAGTGAGCATCAGTCTGAATCCTTCTGAACACTGATGCATTAATATGTAGCCTAAGTCCCAAATGCCTGACCACTCTCTGAAAGATTAATTTTCAACTTTGACTTCCATGACCCCTTTGCCCCCAGCACCTTGCCCCAGCCATCAGTCACACTTCACCCAGTAGGTTCTCTGAGAGAGCCTGGTGGCCTCCATCTTGAACACCTCCTTAGCCAGGAGTGATGCCTCCACTGATCTTGCCGAAATTTACTGCCTCGATGTTCTGGCTTGTGGATTGAGCTTTTGAGGACTGGGAGACAATGTCTTACCCTCTCAGCCTGTCCCATCACCCACCTGGAGTGATGAAAGCTGTCATCTTATTTCTGTTGCTTTTGACTATCCATCCTCACCTTCCTTCTCTGTGGGCCTCAGGAGTACATGGAGACATTAAAAGCTTATTTGAACAATCCCTTGAACGATCTCAAACTGCCTACACAATGGTTCCGTTGCCTCTATAATCCAGTTGAAAATGAACAAATACCTGTTTTTAACAGACACCAACTTAATACAACCTTGTTGTAAATCCACTATGGATGTCCTGGGGTTTTTTTAAAAAGCATTTAAAGTGGCTTACCAAAACCACATGTAACAGAATTTTAGTATCAGGACCAAGCAAAAATGGAGTTAAGGACAAGGAAAATTGATTACTTGGAGCGAGGTTTCTTACAGCTGAAGTGAACAGGAACACCCAAGTCTCACGGACCACAGGAACAAGAAAACAGTATGAAGTGCTTGGCTCAGATGACACCTGCTTTGGCGTGGGCACTTTAGCATGGATGAGCTCCCTTGTGAATTCCATATAAGCTATACAGACAAATCCAAACCGTAAGACTGAGGTTACATTTGAACTGGGTTTTGAAGGATGAGTAGACAGCCCAGTGGAGAAACCTGCATTTCAGGCAGAAAGAGCTCACAGAAAGAACTCAGAGCAGCATGGATATTAAATTCAAGTGAGCACTGAATCACAGCATTAGCCCGCTGAGCAGCTACTACAGTGAAGTGTGTGATGGCTTATACAAGGTGGGGGCAGGAGCAGAGGACTCCAGATGCCTCTACCTTGAAAACTGGTGAAGTAGATGTAAACACTTAGTGCAAAGCCTGATACACTAGATATCCAGCAACTACTTTCCTCTAACTGAAAGCATCTTAAGAATCTTCAAGTTCACTTTGAGGTATACAAAACTTGAGGTATACCAAAGTTGAGGTACAAGTGGGTGTTCATGGGGTGCCCCCTAGTGCACACCCTTTGCCTAGAGCTGACCAAAACTAAAACAGAACTCCCGGTTTAGAAAAAAAGGAAATCTGGAAAAGTTACAGAACAGTCCCAGGAGGGCTGCACCGAAGTAAATAGGGCCACAGAACTCTGGTGCTAGTGGAAAGGGGGAAAGGGGCATAAGAGGTGAAGTGTGGCAAAGCACTCAAAGTATAGACAAAACTCTAGAAAATCCAAGAGGTGAAGACGGAAAAGCTATGAAACTATTGAGTTTGACCATAAAGTCTCAGGGACCAGACTGACATTTTAGAGAAAGCAATTAAGAGAATGGAAACCACCATCTTGAGTACTACGGAACAGCCCCAACAAAGTAGTAGAGATATAATAAAGGGCACAGTATTCCTTAGAGATCTGACCTGAGGGATCAGTGGATATGCAAATACCAAAAAAACACCTAATGCTGATTCAGGTCAGTGGAAGGTACAGTTCAGCCAGTTTTCCCAAAATGGAAATGCCAAGTGCTATACTCAGCTATCCTCTCTAGCATGAGCTTCAGAATTCCCACACACCATCAAAACCTAAGAAAAAGTTGGAAGGAGGGTTTTGCTACTCCAATAGCTCAAACGGTGCCAGGTAAGAGTGAATGACTCACAACTGCTTGCCTCACAAGATGTTCATATGTACCAGAATTCAAAGCAAATAGAAGACCCCTTCCTTAGAAATGGCAGATAGCTTGGGTTGACATTTAATGGTGATAGATGGACCCCAGGGTACCGTACCTAAGGAACCTTATCAGTAAGGCTTTATGACTACAGTAGCTCTAGGACTCTTGAAGCCATTCACTCCACCACAGCAGATATGATGCAGAGACAGCCTTTAGCGATCCTAGAGGTTGCTACATTACCTAGAGTTGAGTTTTATTGAAGGCTTAAACCTATGAACTCCCAACATGGAGAAAATACTCACCATTGTACAAGCAGGCATTCAAAACCGATCTGGCTCCATTTAGCGCCATTTAACTATACAGCAGTACCAATAAACTAGAGTAGAGAAATTCTAAGTAACCTTTAGCAGCAATTTAGCAAGGACTTCGATTATAACATTTCCATTAATCCTACCTGGCTCACTAATCTCATGCTTGTACCAACTTGGTCCAGGCCTGAAATACATGGGTCATGACTGACTCTGTGGAGATTGAGACTTCAGCATAGAGAAGCAGATCCTGCTTCTGCACCTAAGACAGTACCAAGGGTTATAACCCACACCATGAACGCCCTGACCTCTTCCAATGGACATGTCCATGAAGCACTTTCTGGACATCCTGTACTTTGTGTCCCACAGCCTAAATCCAATCCTGCCTACCTAGTATTTTCTATCGACTTGTTTGACTTTTTCAATCTGCTGTCAAGTTGCCAGACTGCAAAGTAACACCCACACTTGACTAGCTTCGGCCCATTTCTCTAGGTCCTAGGCGGTTGTCCTTGTTACAGGATGTCACAATCACTGTAAGGCTTTTGTTACTTATGTCATCCTGTTCTCAGTTGCTAACACTGTAATTACCGACTGGTTAGAGGTGGCTTTCATTTAGAAACCAGGAGGAAACAAACAGCATGTTTCTAGTTATTTTGCTAATTCTACAAGGATTATCTTTTCTCTTGCTAACTAAGAGACCTTATTCTAGTGCCGCCCCCAATAAAAACACAAACCAGGTGTGGATCAAAAACTAAGTTTATTTGTTCATTTCTTGCATTTGAAGTATTCCTCGATGACATCCTTCGCCTGAGACTCTTTGCCATAGTCCTGAAAGAATTAAAAAAAAAATTTTTTTAACTAACATTTAGAAAACTCTTACCAAGTTGTTAGCACTGGTTTTGGTGAAGTTTTACAAAATTATTTCTGAAAATGTTTCCATCATTACAATTTCTTATAGCCATTTTCAGGGACCTTAAGGACTTCAATGTCTTTAAGGCTCGTAACATGGCATTACTATTGCCAGCATTTTCTAAATTTCTGCAGAAACACTTTCAGGTAAGCAGATAAATTGGCTGGCTTAATTACAGCCTATTTTCCTTTTTTCAAAGGCAGAAAAAGGACATCTTTTAAGTGTTCAAAAATCACACTTTTTTGATATTCCTCACAATTAAAATTCTACACTGAATTATGCAGCTTCCCAGCACAACCTTCATCCCAGAGATAAATACTGACTTACCTTCACCACCACACAACTGCAACCAACCACTTTACGGGGTTTTCCCTCTCTGTCAATTTTACAGAGGCCTACCCACTCCCCTAGTTTCTTGTTGTCATCAACCTGTGAAGAGAAATTAAAGAGAAAAAAATCACCGTATTAGCAGACAATAATGCTTCTGACAATAAATCGGCCCAAAAGGTAGCTGTAGTCAGATAGGGTGACATGGCAGTTTCCTCATGGCAATTCAGTAGAGGGAGCCAGTTGTCATCATGTACAGCATCAGGTCACCTACAAGCGCTCTACCTCACTTCTACACCAACACCAAAATTACCGGTTACTTCTGCAAGAACAGAACATCTCCGTGACTAGCTTGACACAGTCCAAGGTACCAAGCCTATGTGATGTTTTTCACACCACCAGAAAGCAAGGAAACTTTCTTTACAAAATTTACTAACTGGATAAAACAGCATCAATACAGCTATAACCCTAACTGGCTCAATTTTCACTAAGCGAAAGCATCTGTGAATTCAGATAAATAACTTACCTTGATTAGGTTGATTTGGTGTTCAGCACAAAGGGCCTCCACCAGCTTGACATACATGGGTTCATCACAGTTGGATGCAAGCACACACAGATGGGCTTGGCGCCTGAAAGGCAAACCCAGTATAAGCGAAAACTCGGGTCTGAAACATTACTTTCCAAGAGTTACCTCTGCAATCACTACACTGGCCAAACACAGGCAACACCCACTGTACAACTACTTCAGTTTAAAGAACCTGTTAAACAGCACAGATTCAGTCACTGACAAAAATCAAGCCTCCAGTAACTCCCCCAAATACTAATTTTACGAAGAATTAGTTCACCAATTTGTGGACGAAGCACCATCATCCTTTCTTGCAAGCCACTGACACGTTTACAACCTACTGTAATGAAACACAAACCACTGCCATTAGAATTGTTACCTGTTACTGGCCCAGAAAATTAGTATAGGCATCACTGCCGTTGTGCAAATAGTGCAGAGGACTCACACCAGGACCAGAAGGGCTTCCAACAAGTGCTATTTCCAGTGGATTCAAGTGACCAACCTACGCCAAAGTGAGCTGAATGAACTTAAATTTACTGCCTAAGAAATTCTTAAAAGCGCACTAAAATTCAGCTCAAATAGTTAATACCTGCAGCTGCTCTGCCACTATAACCAGCCCCAAAACTAGACGGAGTTAACAAAATCTCCATTTTTTTTATTTCTACAGCTACTTCTTTCTCAATTTTAAGTCCAGGTGCTTCTGCAACATTAGCCTGAAATTCCCTAATTTAACTTGGTAGTTCAATTTCTGCTAACTGCCCGATGAGGATTCCTTATCAGTCCTTTAAGTGAAATTCACTCCACAACCTACAGGTTTGTCAGACTGTTACAGGTTTCACTCATGCAAAGAGTGAAGGGGTATCCGACAATTTAAGTCATCATTCAAACACTGTAGTCTTACTCTAGTTAAAAACCAAATACTCATTCCCATTCCAAACAGAAACTCACAAACTTCGCAGACTATACAGATCTGAGTTCTGATACCTTTTCCTAGGTTTCCTGTAGGACGGCTGCCATTCAGAACTCTGGCGCTAACACCATGAACTTCACGCTTTCTTCCCTCCGCTGCAGTTTTGTTCCGGTTCCAACAACCCACCGTACTGAGACTGATACACGTACTTGTCTAAGGCTTTGGCAGCTTCGCGAATTCCACGTGCTAGGCCATCGTGGATGAGGGCGGTCTTCAGCACCTCTTGTAAAGCAGTATTAACGTCCATTACACCTCCAGCAGCAATGCTGAAACGCAGCAAATAAACTCAAAACCGTTAGTAAACTCCCCGAACGCCTAAAACCCTGGCCTAAATAATCACACGCCCTGAAGACGCCGTGGCCTACCCTGACCCCGCATCCCCCGCTCACTGCCCATTCCCTGCCGGCACCAGACCCCGAGGCTGGGCTCACCCTTCCTCGGCCATGGCGGTGGATTACGAGTGTAGCCGAATCTTGACTGCACTACAATACAAAAACAACAAAAAAAGAAAAACCAGGTAACTAAATAGAAAGAGCTCGGCCAAGGCCCAATTCCGGGCCAAAAGCAGTAAATGCACCACGGCGACTACCCCAACCTCGTTCAACTCACCCCTCGCCTCCGCCTCCGCGCGACTCGGCGGCGGCAGGGAAAGAGATCGTGCGCGTCCGCATGACGGTATTTAAGCGTTTCCCAGGACCCCTACGCGCATGTGCATTACCTTTCATGATAGAGGTGGCTCTGGCGGTGCCGGGCCTCGAGAATTTCTGTTTCCGGATTGAGATGGTTCAGAGACGAGAGTATTCCTAGTCTTCTGGCTCTGCGCTGCCGGTCACTGACATACGCAACAGGCACCATCGCGGACAGCCTCACACCGTCCTTTCCCCGCCAGAGGCGTGGTCTACGCAGGCCCAGAAAGCTCGTTCTACGAAGCGCAAGAGGGGCCAAGCGCACCTCTGTGCTGTCTCTTTAGGTCCCTGGACCCTTGCCTTCTTCGCTGAGTCCGTTTGAACCTTTGTCACACTACATTGTAGTTTCTTGTCGACCCCACCAACTGGGCCTTCCTGCGTGGAACGCTCTCCCGTCTCTTCTAAGCCATTCTAAATGTCAGCGAATGTGTTTTGTGGGTGATCCACATTGGTTGTGAAACGAAAGGCAGCACGTTTTCAACACTAAGCACATGGTAAAATTCCACTTGACCGGCGATATGTTAGTAGAGTGCAACCTTAGGTGGTTGGTTATGGTTTCTAAATGTAGTTGGTTCTAATTATTTTTTTTTTCCTTTTCTAACTCTGGATTGTCCCCTAAATTAGTAATCCCGCGCAAATCGGGATTCAGTAGGTGCATTGAAAACGCCTACGATATGCCAGACACCGGAACTGGGTCCGGAGTAATAGTGATGAGAACTTGGTTTTTGAGAAATCTGGCATTAATTTTGCCATGCAGGACTGGCGGAGTTAGAAATGGAATCTGAGGACCCTAGAACTCTATTACCAGAAGCAGCATTTTGAATTTTGCATTTATTGGCCATTCTCCTACCCCCGTTTCAAAACGCAAATATTTGAAATACGGCCGCGCATTCTCATTCTCAGTACGGTCTCTTTTTCTTTCTTCTTCTTTTTTTTTTTTTTTTAGAACTTCCTCTCCTGACAAGTCTCCGGGCCAGTCAGAATTAGGCGTTTGATAAGTGCCGGTACCGGCGATACAGTGACATGGACCGTGGATACAGTGAGTGCTGTGAAGAAAACAAAAATGAGTAACAGGAGTGCGGGACAGAATTAACCAGAGCAAGAGAGATATATTGGAATTTTAATAAATGTATATAGTTCGTTTTTACCATTTTGAATGCTTACAGATTTTCATTTTTAAAATGTGAAGCTTTTTCATTCTATTCATGACTCATTCTAAAAGGCTGCTCACTTATTTGTTGATTTAATTACCTATTGAACATTTGCTTTAAAAAAAAAAAAAAAAAAAAGCTCCAGAGCTTATAAGAATGAAATTTATTACTACCGCTCTCACGGTTGTGGTAGGATTAAGATTTAAACCCAAGTTTAAAATACTTAAACGCCACAGAGAAGGTACAAAGTGCACGGGGGTTAGAGAGTGGAGATGATGTGTAAAGATAAACATGGATTTGAGTCTGTGGCAACATTTGAAATGGGAAAACAACAACAACAAATGAAAGTGTTCTAAACCGGGAGCATGAGAGAAAAGGAGAGGGTGTTCTAAGAGGAGTAGAGAGTAAGGGCAAAGGCACAGATGCCTCCTTGGCTTTTTTGGAAGTTATCATAGCACATTTGTATTTTCAAAAGAGAATGTGGAGGTGTCAGCAATTTCTCACTACCTTGATAAAAGTTGATAAAAGTTAATGTGCTAAGCATTAGATTTCGTATTAGATTTCTCCCTCCACCCACCAAAACAAATAGTAGAGAGAAGGCAGAGAATTTTGGTAAAAACTCAAGAAACGTAATAGAGGAAAATAATAATTTCCAAACAATGTATTTATACAGAGGGAAAACAATTAAGTACCTTTTTGCTCTTGTTGATTTCTATCTTCTAGCAGCTGGTAGTCTATTATGTAGATTCAAATATCATGGGCCTATGCCTTAATATTTCACCTTATAAATACTTTTTCTACCAGTTGTAAACCTCTTTCCTTAGAACCAGACCTATATATATTTTTTTGAAGTTCTAATACATAGCTGTTTCTAATCCTAGGAATGAACTTAAGGGACACAGTGGTGATTCAAGGATTCTTAATATAAATGTACTTAGTTCACTTGCTTAAGGTTACTACTTCCTCTCAATTTTAGATATAGCCAAAGGTTGAAGATAATATTACTTAGAGACTAAATGCCAGAGTCATTCTTATACCAGTAGATTACAATACTTATAGAAAGTACACAAATGTGCATCTAAAATATCCACGAAAGGTAAATTCTAAAGTTTGTTTTAGGAACAATAAATAACAGTAAGTAATTTTGTTTAGCACTTCCTATGTACCAACTAATGTGCTAAATTACTATGTTTTCTTCCTTGATTGTCCTTGAGACCTTACGTGGTAGTGGTGGTCTTAGCCTCATTTAACAAAGTAAGGAAATAAGCTTAGAGAGTTGCTCAAGATCACACAGCTAGTAAATGCAGAACCTGGTATTTGAGCCCAGTGGACTTCAAAACTTATGCTTCCAACCCCTCATCCATTTGAATGATTGCCCAAATGTGGATGAACATAGAATTCAATAAGTCTTCACATCTGATGTTGGGAACAATGCAACTGATTCTACTTCATTGTGCTAAAAAGCTGGGTAGATGGAGAAAGGAAATACTACAGTTTTAGGCAGAAAAAGAGAACAGTAGAAATTTGCATTCCTGATCTGCGTAGATACTTTATTAGTTTGCTACAGCTTCTATAACAAAGTATCAAAACCTGGGTGACTTAAACAACAGAAAGTTATTGACTCACAGTGCTGAAGGCAAGTAGTCTGAAATCATGGAGTCTGCAGGGTTGGTTCCTTTTAAGGCTGTGAGGGTGAATCTGCTCATTCCTTGCTCCAAAATTCTGAAGCTTTGCCAGAAATCTTGGTGTTCCTTCGCTGTGGCAGCATAATTCCATCTTCACATGGTGTTCTCCCTGTGTCCAATTTTTTCTTTTTTATAGGGATACTAGTTATCCTTTTTTTTTTTTTTTTTAAGATTTTGTTTATTTATCTGAAAGTGAGAAAGAGCACAAGCAGGGTGAGAGAGCAGAGGAAGAGGGAGAGGCAGACTCTTGGCTGAGCAGGGAGGCCACCGAGGGGATCTCAGATCATGACCAGAGCAGAAGGCAGATGCCTAACTGAATGAATGACCCAGGCACCCCAAGGATACTAGTTACCTTGTATTAAGGGCTCACCCTACTCTGGTATGACCTCATCTTAACTAATTACATTTAAAACAACCCTCCAAATAGGGTCTTGATATGTGGTGCTAAGGGTTAGGACTTGAACATATGTCTTTCAGGGGAACACAATTTAGCCTAAAACAGATGTCAGAAGAAGAGATGTAGGACAGAATAAATGACAAAGAAGATCTTTGAGTTAAACTACAACAAGCTTACTTGAAAGACCAGAGCTGGGAAGAGAAGCTGGGCCAATGTCCATTAAAGACTATATCTTGGGGGCGCCTGGGTGGCTCAGTTGGTTGGGCAGCTGCCTTCAGCTCAGGTCATGATTCTGGAGTCCCAGGATCGAGTCCCACATCGGGCTCCCTGCTCAGCAGGGAGTCTGCTTCTCCCACTGACCTCTCTCCTCTCATGCTCTCTCTCTCTCAAATAATTAAATAAAATCTTAAAAAAAAAAAGAAAAAGACTATATCTTGGAGTGATGGGGACCAGCGAGTTCAAATTTCAGCTCACTTTGTGGCCTTGAGCAAATTACTTATTTTTCTGAGCCAGCAAAATCGCTAATACTATAAAATTTTGTAAGGATTAAATGGGATGGTTATTTAAAGTGTTTACCACTCTGCCTGTGGGTGTAGTTATTTATCTTATAGAGAATTTGATATGACAATATATGGAGGGGTGTCTGGGTGGCTCAGTGGGTTAAGCATCCTTTGGCTCAGGTCATAATCCCAGGACCTTGGGATCAAGCCCCAGGGCTGCTCCTTGATCAGCAGGGAAACTGTTTCTCCCTCTTCCTCTGCCTGCCGCTCCTCCTGCTAGTGCACTCTCACTTTCTCTCTGACAAATAAATAAATAAAATCTTTTTAAAAAAGCAAGCAAGCAAGCAAATATTTGGAAAGGTTCTTAAGTATTACTTTCTCTTGCCTTAAACCGCCGAGCACTAAGTACAGTGACCTGCGTATTGGAATAACTAGACTGATGTGTACTGCGTGAACACATCATATTAAATAAGTTTAAAGAGGCAACTGGGGTGGGGGAGGGTGCCTGCATGGCTCAGTGGGTTAAGCCTCTGCCTTGGGCTCAGGGTCCTGGAATCGAGCCCCACATCTGGCTCTCTGCTTAGCAGGGAGCCTGCTTCCTGCCACCCCCCCCGCCCCTGCCTGCCTCTCTGCCTATTTGTGATCTTTCTCTGTGTCAAATAAATAAATGAAATCTTTAAAAAATAAATAAATAAATAAAGAGGCAACTGAATAGATGACATACCTAAAAGAAAGCCATGTTGAAAACTACAGAACTAGAGCAAGATAAATCAACATCTCTTGTGAATTAGTGGGAGGTTTGGGGCATCCCAGAAAACCATGTTTAAAAGAAAACCATGTTTATGGGGCACCTGGGTGGCTCAGTGGGTTAAGCCTCTGCCTTCAGCTTAGGTCATGATCTCAGGGTCATGGGATTGAGCCCCGAATGGGTCTCTCTGCTCAGCAGGGAGCCTGCTTCCCCCTCTCTCTCTGCCTGCCTCTCTGCCTACTTGTGATCTCTGTCAAATAAATAAATAAAATATTTTTTTTAAAAAAGAAAAGAAAACCACTTTTAATTTTAAAAAGTTTTAAATGTCCCTACCTTTGGGGATAGAAAATAAACTCAATCCATGGAAATGGGAGCTAAGAAATAGGAGAAAACTCAGGAAATATTATCCTGCTGTAGCTCAGGGTAATATAGGTCTAGTCTTGGCTTATGTAGCATGTGGTTTTAAAGATACTGCAGAAAATTTAGTTGTAGCTGAAGAGAG